ATATCAGGTCTGTGTTCTGAGAAATGGTCTTTAAATACTTTGCCATTGAGTGAAGCCCAGCTTGGCATCTTGATCATAAAGGGACTTATGAAAGTGTTGCCAATGTGACGTAGCATACTATCTTACAGTAAACATGTTTTGTGTATAAATAAAAGCAGTGATTAAAAATAAAAATGTAATGTAGCAAACTAGTGACACAGACATACATTATTAAAGATTATGTCCTGTACATAAATGCATGTGCCGTATTTTCATACTGCTGACATGTAGGAAGTTTATTCATACTAGCACCACCACAACACATGAGTGCTATGACATTATCGTTTTTATTTAATGAGACCATTGGAATGATTACAACGCATTAATGATCACAATGTATGCAATTCATGACTTTGTATCATTTTGTGAAGAAAGGATATCACCCTCAAAGGAATCTGGCTGAAGCACCCCTTAGGACAGACACCAGGGTCTTTCAGTGGTTTCCCAGTAATTATTTTTCCCTCTCACTTCCAGTTGCATTATTCTTTTTTTTTTTTTTTTTTACCCCTTTTCCCTTTTAACTCTGGGAATGTAGTTATTAACTTGCAGTCAATGAAAAGGAGTCTGCATTTATAAAGTCTCAAGACAGGTGATAATTTGTGTGTTTTGCCCCAGGCAATACCACAGCCAGCGCTCTACTTCTGTCCCCACCCCAGGCTAGGGCTTCTTCCTGCTGGAGTAACTTTTAAGAATGACACATACAGGGGGAGGGCATTCCCTCTGTTACAGTTTTGCTCCATACTGGTAAGGGTGTAAGATTCTTACAGACAGATTACCGTCTGGAATGCAAGAGTAATTAAAGGTGAATGTGTTTACCCTTTTTTTCCCCCCTTTGAACTTCTTCCATAAGTATTTACATGTCTATTTTAACTTCAGGAAGATGAAGATTTACTGCATTTATGTCTAGGGAATAAAATATATTGCACAATTTCATGTGATGATATGCAGTCTTATCAATAAGTATACTTTTTTCTATTTTTCTTTTTTCTCGCTCTCTTTCTTTCTCTCCTTTTTTTGTGCTAGTACTAGGTCTTGAACTCTGGGCCAAGGCACTATCCCTTAGGAAGGCATTATCTCCAGTTGGAGCTCTACTACTTATGAACACAGCTTTTGCTGGTGATTGTATCTGATCCTCAGATCTCAGCCTCCTGAGTAGCTTGGATTACAGGTGTGACCCACGATTGCCTGGCACATATCCTTTTAACTCTTCCATAAAATTAAGACAAAGTCTCACTGGTTATCAATTTAAACTTTCTTGCCTCAGTTTTTATCTGAGCCCACTGGAATACTATATAGAAAATGAGACAGAGACTAGTATAAATATGATTTGAAGAGGAGCAAGTGGACAAATATAGAAGTGGGTAATTCTGAGTAGAAAATATTTTGATGTATTAATAGCCAACAAGTGATGAGTTATTTCAGTTTTATCCTTTTGTTTCTATAGCAAGTATCTTCACTTTCCTTATCTGGGCAAAGAGCAGAAAAAGGCATGTCAAACACAGGAAAAGCATAACAGTCTGACTTTAAGACTTGCAGAAATGCTTCTGATTATGAAGAAAAAGATTTCATCTGAATTTTTTATCCACACTACTTACGGGCATTACTAAAATTGGAAAGATTTCATATTATCTATTAAACCAGTTACTCATATCTTCACATCTGGCTTCTTGACATCTCTATGGTATTTTAAAGTGACAAAATTTTATTTGTTTGTTTGTTTATTTATTTAATTTATGCCAGTTTTGGCTTGAACTCAGGGCCTGGGCGCTCTCCCTAAGTGCTCTACCACTTGAGCCACAACTCCACATCTGGCTTTTTTGGTCCTTAATTGGATATAAAAGTCTCATGGACTTTCCTACCTAGCCTGGCTTCAAACTGCAGTCCTCAGATCTCAACCTCCTGAGGAGGATTACAGATGTGATCCAACTCTTCCTGGATAATTCTAAATATTTTGTGTATCTTTTTATTTGGGTGTGGCTTTTATAAACTGTTGTAAGTAGAAAACATTTCAATTCAGTTGAAGCAATATTCGGAAAGCAAAGGCTACAGAGTACCATACAATCTGCTAGAGACAAATAAATGTATAGATATAAAACTTTCTTGCCTCACAGAACAAAGACATTTGTGTAATTTATTTTTCTTTTTGGTGATCACAAGGTTTGAACTTGGGGCCCGAGCGCCATCCCTGAGCTATTTTGTGCTCAAGGTTAGTACTCTACCACTTTGAGCTAAGCTCCACTTCCGGTTTTCTGGTGGTTAATTGGAGATAAGAGTCTTACAGACTTTCCTGCCTGAGCTGGTTTTGATCCTCAAATCTCAGCCTCCTGAGTAGCTAGGATCACAGGTGTGAGCCACCAGTACCTGGCTCATTTGTTTGTTTTTACATGTATTAAGTCCTATTTAACAAGCACTTATTGCTCTCAATTTGTGCTACATGTACTATTCTAAGTAATTTGCAAATATTATTAGCTCATTCAAGTAATTATGTATAATGTGGTTTCAAAAGAGAGAAGTTATACTATAGGTTATACTATATAAGTTATACTATATAGATTATACTATATTTTAGGAATAGGAGGCAACAGAGGTTTGAGAATGAGCACTTGGTACTTCTTACTGTCACATCTTTGGAATTTGAAACCTGGACAAAGATAAATTCTTCCTACCAGGAGAGCAGTGCTTAGTTGGGTTCATGATCTTCTCCTGAGTAATATACAGTTTGATTTTTTTAAAGTGGGTTCTTGTTAGTATAGCTAAGTTTTATTCATATTGAGCTGCAATGGTCTTTTCTTTTCTTCCTCCTCCTCTTTCCTTTTGCCAGTTACTGTTATTTTTGCTTTTGACCATCTCCAAACTGTTTGTAGAGAAGTTGATGAAGAATACTGCTCTCTAAAACATACTCGTGATGAGATTATGGTACATACATCCAGACTTTTACTTGAGTGGTCTAAGGAAATGTTTTTATTGTTTAAACTTAGGGCTTCACATACTTGATAGGCCCATGCTTCACCATGTAAGCCGTACCAACAGCCCTTTTGGCTTCAGTTATTTTTCAGATAAGGTCTTACATTTCTTTCCAGGACCAGTCTCAGACAACAGCCCACCTGCTTACATGTCCTGATTAGCTTGGACAACATGTGTACACTCTCATACCAACTTAATGATTGAGATGAGGGTCTTGCTATTGCTGTTTTGGGGGAAAGGTCAGGGGGGTTGGCCTTGAACCTCAGCCACTTTTTTTTTAAAAGCTCTAAATCAAAATTCACCCTTTAAAAGTTTATTGAGATTTCTATCCCTTTTCAAGCAACTTTCTCTGGAAGCCATGTTATTTTATTTAATTTTATTTAATTTAATTTTTTTGGGGGGTCCGGTCGTGGGGCCTGAACTCTGGGTCTGGGCGCTGTCCCCCAGCTCTTCAGCTCAAGGCTAGCGCTCTACCACTTGAGCCACAGTGCCACTTCTGGCTTTTTTTCTTTTTGCTTATGTGGTGCTGAGGAATTGAACCCAGGGCCTCATGCATGCAAGGCAAGCACTGTACCACTGAGCCACCTTCCCAGCCCCGCCATGTTATTTTATACTCCTTTTTTTTTTGGTCAGTTGTGGGGCTTGAACTCTGGGCTTGGGCGCTGTCCATGCACTCTTCAGCTCAAGGTGAGCACTCTACCACTCAAGCCAAAGCACCACTTCTGGTTTTCTAGTGGTTTATTGGAGGTCTCATGGAGTTTCCTGCCCGGGCTGGCTTTGAACCTCGATCCTCGGATGTCAGCTTCCTGAGTAGCTAGGATTACAGGCGTGAGCCACCAGCACTGGCTTTATTTTATACTCTTTTTTTTTTTTTGGTCCGGTCATGAGGCCTGAACTCTGGGCCTACGTGCTGTCCCTCAGCTCTTCAGCTCTACCACTTGAGCCACAGCGCTTATGTGGTGCTGAGGAATCAAACCCAGGGCCTGATGTATGCAAGGCAAGTGCTCTACCACTGAGCCACCTTCCCAGCCCTATTTTATATTCTGAACTGCAAGATAAAGTTTCTTTTACACATTCAAATATATTATGTGGGTTCAGCGGCAGTTAGTATAAGTAAAGGAAGCATGCTGTATGTGAGACTTGTACATAAGGCAGTATTTTCATTCTTGACTTCCTTCTACTTCACATTTTTTTGAGCAAATTTATTTATATATTTATGTGTTTATTTTTAACTTTTTTTTGCCGGTGCTGGGGCTTGAAATCTGGGCCTAGGTGCAGTCTCCAAGTTTCTTTTGCTCTGCTGCTTGAACCACAGCTCAAGAGTTGTGAGATTAAAGTCTCATGGGATTTCCTGCCTGGACTGACTTTGAACCATGATCCTCACATCTCAGCTTCCTGAGTAGCTAGGATTACAAGTATGAGCCACTAGCACCCAGAGGTAGTTTTTTAATTTAATTAATTTGCTTCATTTTTTATAAAGGTGATAAACATGGGACTTACAATTATATGCATCAGGTAATGAGTACATTTCATTTTGTAGTGTCCTGTATTTCTTTACTCTCTCCCAGTACCTCCCTCACATCTCCACCCATGAGTTGTAGAGTTTGAGAAAATTTAAAAAGGACATTACTATATCTTTTCTGTGATAAAATTTTCTGTACTGCCTAATCTATTTGACCTTTGCAAGTTAGTCTTCTCTTTCCAAGATCAAAGCCTAACTCTTCTGTTGTTCATACATAATCAACTAGCTCCAATCTACTGTTTATCTAGACTAAGCCACGCCTCGCCTCCATCTTGATTTGCAGTCCAACAACAGATCAGTCATAAATTATTAGGTGCAGTGTCAAGCAAAACCCTAGATGGAGAAGGATTAGTCTTATTTATATATTTGTTTATATATATGGTAAGCATGAACTCTCAGGAAAAACATTGCCACCTAACAATTCTTTGTGTTGATATGAATTTTGAAGTGTGCCACAAATGTGCTTTGTTTCTAGGTCCATATTGTGGAAGTATGACCGTTCCCAAGGAACTCAGGCTGAATACAAATGAAGTAACTGTTCGCTTTGAGAGTGGATCCCACATTTCTGGTCGGGGCTTTTTACTCACCTATGCCAGCAGCGACCATCCAGGTATAGAATTGACCCAGTTCATCACACCCTATATGCCTAAGAATTTTTCTTGCTACTTATCACTCTCTGTAAACAGAAGTGTACTCTTAGATACAAAATTAAGATTCGAAAGGAAGAAGAGTTTGTTTATAATAATTAAGCCTGAATGGAATTGTTTTGTGGCACATGGTAGATGAATCGGCTGACCTGTATCAGGTAGCTCATCTTTGGAGCTTTGCTTCTGAATTTTCCAAGACCTGGCTGCCTCGGAAGCTGTTCCCTAGCCTCTTTCCTTGCTCAAGGAACCAATCTTTTCTCCAGTGAAAAGCTCCATCTCTACCCTAGACTTATACCAAAGCCCTAGCGTGGGAGCCATGCCCATCCCAACACAATGAGGAAGTCTCAGCTACGTGGCCTCCTGACCATAGATAGAGCTAAAAGGGAATATGAACAATGACAGCCAAGGAAAGTGCAGCCTCTTATCCTGGCCTCCTGAACTCCAGACTCATGGACATTCAACCCACTCCATATCTGTCGAGGGTCACAGAGATGTCCGAATTAGTGCTGCCAGTCCCATGGAGGCAGAAATAGTCTGGGAAATGGCTGAGTCATTCATTTCCTTCGTAGCCAATCATATGTGATTGGCCAAATGGCCCATGTTTGCCATACATTGTTTTAAGGTTTATTGAAAGTGTTCCTGAAGAACTATTACATCAACATCAACAGTACAGCTTTGTTGTTGTTTTTTGGGGGGGTCGGTTATGGGGCATGAACTCTGGGCCTGGGCGCTGTCCCTCAGCTCTTCAGCTAAGATGAGCACTCTACCACTTGAGCCACAGCACCACTTCTGGTTTTCTGGTGTTTTTATTGGAGATAAGAGTCTCATGGACTTTCCTGCCTGGGCTGGCTCTGAACTGTGATCCTTAGATCTCAGCCTCCTGAGTAGCTAGGATTACAGGCACCCGGCAACAGTAGAGTATTTAGGGAACTGCAGTAGGTTTATCTTCAACAGGCTTCTTTTGCAGTTGTTGTTGTTGCTTTTGACTGTTCTGGGGCTTAAATTCTGATCCTAGGTGCTGTCCCCGAACTTCCTTTTGCTCATGGCTAACACTCTACCAGTTGAGACACAGTGCTACCACTTCTGGCTTCTTCTGTGATTAATTGGAGATAAGAATCTCATGGACTTTTCTGCCTGGGCTGTTTCAAACGCAATCCTCTGATCTCAGACTCCTGACTAGCTAGGATTACAGATGTGAGCTACCAGCATCTGGCTATATGCATCGATTTTCATAACAGCTTAGCTTCCCCATTGCTGAATGCTGTTAATTCAGTTTTATAAATTACTGCAGAAAACCCCCATCTTTTGGTCCTGATTGATCAAGGCTGATATGTTGTTGGTGTTGGGTAAACATTTGTTCTGTACCATTGGATGTCACTGGATTAGTTGTTGAGTGAAAACATTTCTGAGAGCCTTCTGTATTGTGTTGGGCTTGTGAGAGCCTACCACAGAGCTTATGTATACAATCTTTGTAGTATGTAGCAGGCAGTTAATTGTTGATTTTTTTTTTTTTTGGTCCGGTAGTAGGGCCTGAACTCTGGGCCTGGGCGCTGTCCCTAAGCTCCTCAACTCAAGACTAGCGCTCTACCACTTGAGCCACAGTGCCACTTCCGGTTTTTTTTTTTTTTATGTGGTGCTGAGGAATCAAACCCAGGGTCTCAGGCATGCAAGGCAAGCGCTCAACCACTGAGCCACCTTCCCAGCCCCTAATGTTGATTTTTTTTTGTTGTTGGAAATAGAATCTCTTATTATTAACTAAATAATAACACTGAAAACCTATACCTGGTGATAGAAAAGTTAGAAAAAGGAGCTGATTAAATACTAGAGACAGTGTTTTCAGGTTTTATTTCAAATAGAACAACTCAGATAACTAGAAAATGAACAAATGCTTAAAATTGTCTTTTTATTTAGGAAATATTTAAAGCATGAGAACTCTATTCTCTGCTCAGTTTATTAATTGCAACTATCTTTATTTGTGACAGATTTAATAACCTGTTTGGAACGAGGTAGCCATTATTTGAAGACTAAATTCAGGTAAATATAGGTATCAGTCATATTGTTAAACATTCTGTTTTCCTTAACATGAAACTAAATAAAGCCCCCAATTAGTTCTTAAATTGGTGTGTGTGTGTGTGTGTGTGTGTGTGTGTGTGTGTGTGTGTGTATGTTTTAAAGAAAAACATTTATGTTGCTGGATTGCTGGATGCTGGTGGCTTAATCCTATAATCTTAGCTTCTCAGGAGGTTGAGAACTGAGGACCACAACTCAATGCCAGCCTGGTCAGGAAAGTCCTTGAAACTCAGCTCCAATTAACTACCAAAAAGCCAGAAGTAAAGCTCAGTAGACTTGAGCTGAAAAAGCTCAGAGACAGTACACAAGCGCTGAGTTCAAGCCCAAGAACTGGCAAAAACAAAACTAAACAAAACCCCAGACAAAAATAAAACATTCATGTTGTCACTAATGAGGAATATTTGAAATGGTGTCTTATACAACAGAAGTCAGCACGTTTTTGTCAAGGACCAGATAATAAATGTTTTAGGTTTTACAAGCCCTAAGTCTCCATTGCATTGAATTATGCTATTGTAGTAAAGAAGCAAATATACATACATAATATGAAAATAAACAATTGTGGCTGTGTTACAGTAAAACTTTATTGATAAAAACAAGTTGCAGGTTGAATTTGATCCTCAGACCTCTGAATTTTACTCTATACCAATAGCCCCTAATTGAGTTCATCTTCCTGGCCTATATTTGGGAGTGACTTTTGTAATTCTTTCTTGGGGTAGTGGTAATGTGAATTTATTTTGTCTTTCATCCTAAAGAAAAATCGATTGAGAATAAGGAGACAAAAATTGTCATCTCAGCTTCACTTTAATTCAAAAATATACTTAGCTCTTTGACACATATTTTCTTATCTCCAAAGTAAAATAGGATAGGATTAGCAAACTTTGGCACTATTGATACTTTGGGTTGGGTAATTCTTGATCATGTAGTACTATCCTAAGCACAGTTGGACTTTTAAGGGCAACCCTGCTTTCGTATTCTCTAGATCTCTGATGTGATAGCCAAGAATATCTCCAGTCATTACAAAATGTCTTCTGGTAGGCAAAAACTCGATTTGAGAACCATTAGTCTAGAGATACTGTAACTGCCAGTAACTCTTTACAGTGCTTTCTTAGTGGCAGTACAGTTCTCCACACAAGTAGCTCATATGAAAGTTCCAACATGCCTACTAGGTGAACTCTGTTATATCCTGAAAACATGGGCCAGAATGGTGAAACCACTTATCGAGAGCTATATACCTAATATGTGTGCATTAGACTGTACAGCCCATGGGCTTAACTGCCTCAGACATTTGCACATTCTGAATGTGATTCTTTAGGGTTCAGAATTAACTCCAGTGTTAGCTAATATTAAGTCTAGTTAAAAAATGGAAATTAAAAATGAGTAATAATTAAATGTTGCCTTGTAAAGTTACTGTTCATCCTAGTACATGCATATACACCAGCATTCTCCAAAGTTTCACCAGGTAGACCTGTGCAGTTCCAGGGCCTTTGGGTATGAATAGTCATTTTTTTTGTTCTTCTGAAGATAGGGGATATACTTGTGCTTCCTTGGTGACTTTATGGTGCAGGTCATCTAGGCTGTAGCTCAGTCTTTAGTTTTTATTGTGTGGCTACTAATATAGTCCACAATACATCTTCCATAATTCTGGAACATGCTCTGAAAGCCTTTGTAACTCATTTAGTAGCAATACTTGATTAATGTGACTTTACATTCAATTGGCAGTGGAATTGGACTAGATTAACATGTGGTTATTTGATCTCTGTATATTTTCTTTAATGCAATTATGCATGCTTCTGACAGAACTATTACTGTTGTTGATTAATGTGTGCAGACTCGGTGGCAAGGTCCTACATTATTGACACGGGCCATTTTCTTTTACTGAAATTCAATACAATCTTAATTCTGACCAAGAGAATTATCTCTGAGGAATTATAAGCCTGCAATAGACTATCCCATTATGTTTATTTGTTAAATCCTTGGTTGCTGCTGCAATCCTGAGACTACAAAGATCACTAGGAAAGAATTATTTGGATAATTATTTGGGGTAATTAGCTGTTTTTAATCATATAATTTGCTAAGTCAGCAAGAGGAAACTAAAAGGAAATGAAATTTAAAATAAAGACTAATTGTGGAATCTATTTGGTTTAGGACATTGTTTTTAAACAAACTGAGTAAACATCATAGAGTAGTATATACAGAAACAAAGGCACATGGCTTTCTTCAGAGCAATCCATCTTATAGCACTTTAGATTTCTGTGTGTGTTTTTAATAGATATAAGTACTGCCCCCATATCTTATTAATATATTGATATATTGATGCTTGAAGTAACCAGTAGTGAAGAAGTGGAATGGCAGAGCAAACTTATGCAATAGCAGAGACATACAGCTAGCTGGGTAGTAGCCTGGCCACTGACCCCAATGCTCAGATCCTTCAACTATACCACATTCTTTTTTTTTTTTTTGGATTAAATAGAACACATGATTAATTTTGCCTTTTTGTTTTATAACATTTTATTTTTATTTATATATATGAAACATGTTTCAAATAAACCTTTTTTTTTTTTTTTTTGGGCGGTCGTGGGGCTTGAACTCTGGGCCTGGGCGCTGTCCCTGGGCTCTTCAAGGCAAGCACTCTACCACTTGAGCTACAGCGCCACTTCCAATTTTGCCTCTTTTTAACTTTTAAAAATGTGGCTACTAAAACATTTGAATTTACCTATGTGATTTTCATTATATTCATTGATAGTATAGAGAATGGAGATGTTGCAGTATGTGTAAACACAGGAAGTGAAAGCTTCTCCTACTCCTACTCCCAGAGAGAATCCAGGGATATTCTTTATTCTTTTTATTTTGTTGATTTGTTGGAAGCAAGGTATCTCCCTATGTAGCCCAGTCTAGCTTTAAACTTGATCTACCTGCCTGAGCCTCCTAAGTGCTGGGATTACAGCTGTTTATCACCAAACCTCATTAGGAGTATTCTTTTAAACCATAAACACAAAAATTGATTTCATATTTGAATAATTATTGTTGTAAAAATTAAATCATATTGTATAGATGAAATTTTCCCTTTACCTTAAAAAAAAGTATCTTAGACATCTTACAATCAAAGTGTATGATGTAGCTCATTGTTTAACAGAATTTATGGTGACTCTTTATATACAGCAAGCAATCACTGTGTTAATTTGCCTCCAGATTAACATTTTAGGTCAATCTGTGTTTTCACAGATCAGTTTGCTGGTTTGTTATTATAGCAATATAGCCCTACAATTCTATGGTGTAGGGAAAATACTTCTTTGGTTTTGTTTTGTTGTTGTTGGTCACGGGACTAGCGCTCTACTACTTGAGCCACAGCTCCACTTCCAGCTTTTTGGTGGTTGACTGGAGATAAAAATCTCATGGACTGGGCTGGGAAGGTGGCTCAGTGGTAGAGCGCTTGCCTTGTATGCTTGAGGCCCTGGGTTCGATTCCTCAGCACCACATAAGCAAAAAGAAAAAATCCAGAAGTGGCGCTGTGGCTCAAGTGGTAGAGCACTAGCCTTGAGCTGAAGAGCTGAGGGACAGCGCCCAGGCCCAGAGTTCAGGCCCATGATCAGACCCTCCCACCCCCCCCCAAAAAAAAAAAATCTCATGGACTTTCCTGCCCTGGCTGGCTTCAAAGTTCAGTCCTCAGATCCTGAGTAGCATGGATTATAAGCATGAGCCATTGACACCTAGATCAAGAAAATATTTTTTAAGTTGACGTGTAGTTTAATTTGTTCTTAGTTCAGTAGAATTAAATAAAATATTTTTTTTCAGCAAATTCTGCCCAGCTGGTTGTAAAGACATAGCAGGAGACATTTCTGGGAACACGGTAGATGGCTACAGAGATGTAAGTAATTGGCAGTAAAAGCTGTAAAGGAACTTAAAAGGTGTTAAGTGCTGCTTGCTTGCCTAAATTCTTTACACAGACAATGAAATGAAATAATGCATATAAATACCATGTTTATCTATCCATTCAGTTTTGTTGCTAGCATTTCTAGTTAAGCATTTGTAAATGAGATGATGAGAAACAAGAAGAAGCCCTTTTTAACAACTAGGAGTATCATCATCTTATTGTATGAGTCAAGTTTCTGTTACTGTAACAAATAGCTGAGCCAAATCTATTTAAAAAGGGTTTAATTTGTCTCACAGTTTTGGAGATTCCAGTTCGTGAGCACTTAATTGGTCCTGTTGTTTTGGGGCTTGTGGTAGATCGTAGGGGAGCACATTGTGGAGCAAGATGCAACTGTGCAGCCTACAGAGAGAAAAGGGAATGGGTCCACAAACCCTTTGGACGGCTCAACCCAGTGCCTTAACTTCTTTCCATTAGGCCCCACCTTTTAAAAGTGCTGCAATACCCCTTTAAAAGTAGTGCCACCGGCTGGCCATCAAGCCTTTGACACATGGGCCCTTGGGGGACATTTCAGATCCACACTTAGCATCCATCTACTACCAGAGGTTGTAAGGTTGTGCTCTTTTTGTTACTAATTTAACATCCCAGTTATTTTTGTTACATTTCACCGTTCCCTCTTATACTCCAAACTTTATGCATGATAAATGCATAATCTACATAATAAATAAAATACCTTTGTTTCCAACTAAAAAATAAATTATTAGAAAGTAATTTTTTAAAAAATTATATGTCCTATCTCCAGATACTTAATCCTCCATTTATTTCTGTAGATTTCTGTCTACATTATTAGTTAAAATAGTTAGATTGACAGCCTGGCTTATAGGAATTGTCTTGAATTATTAAAAATGTAGAAAATCTGTCTACGGATGGGGAAATGTTATAGATATGTATCTTCATGCAAGAAGAAAATCGTCTATAACATTTAGAGAAAAAAGCTTGAATTTTTTTTGAGCACATCCTGATTTTTGAGAATAGCAGATTTTTGTTGTTACTTGCCTTGCATTGCATGTATTTATTGATTGATTGATTGATGCATGCATGCATGTATGCCAGTTCTGGGCTTGAACTCAAGGCCTGGGCACTGTCCTGGAGCTTTTGTGCTCAAGACTAGCACACTACCACTTGAGTCACAGCTCCATGTCTAGCTTTTTGGGGATGGTTAGTTGGACAGAATAGTCTCAGGGACTTTCCTGTTCTGGCTGGCTTCAAACCATGATCTTCAGATCTCAGTCTCCTCCCTGAGTATCTAGGATTTCAGGTGTAACTCATTTCTCTTATAAATTATTTGAATGTACTACTTTCGTGTTAAGATTTACTGGGCACAGCTATTTTTAAATGACTCCAAAAAATTAACTGAGAGGGGTAAAATGTTGAAATGGCTTATTTTTCTAGCAATAGAAAGTTTGTATTATTTTCATTCTCTATGCAATAACCTTAAGAATTAACTACAATAAGAGAAATGGTATAGTTTTTGTTCTTCCTGCAGATATGTATTTTGCTGCCTTCTGGCATGAATGTCCTTCTTTAGAGAAGCAAATTAATGGTTTCCTAGCTGGTAGAGCTGAGTACTTGATCCACAAATGCTAGAAAGCAGGTTCCTATTTGACTCACCAACTGGTTTGGTTTATCTGGAAGAAAATTTATAATTTGAAAGATAATCCTTTCTAGGCATTTGATTAGTGCCTTTCTTGCATTTGTTTATCTTCTGAGTATATTCAATATTTCTGGCTGCATAATAATATTACATAAACTTAAGACTTAAACACTGCACATACTTATTTTCTCTTCCTTCTGTGAATCAGGAGTCTGGCCATGACTTATCTGAGTTCAAACTTCATGGTTTCATAAGGGTGCAACTTGTATCAGCTGAGGCTACAGACTCAGCTCCACTAGGGATAGTATGCTTCTAAGCTTGTATGGTGTTCACAGCTTTTACTAATTGAGGGTCATTGAACTGAAGGCCTCGGTTTTCTTCTTGGGTTTTGATTGAAGCTTCATGTGCCTCCTTGCCAACACAGCAAACTGCTTCTTCAAAGTCAGCAGGGTAAAATGACTAACAGAAGAGTTTCCTAGTAAGAAATTGATCTTACATAATGTTTCCACAAGAGTGGTATTCTATCTCCTTTGCCATATTCTACCAGTTAGAAGAAAGTTGCAGTTCTGCCTACACTCAGAGAGTTCTAGAAGGGGACTAACAGGAGGTAGGCATCATGGAGTTCTCTTGGACTGTGCTTGGTGGCATGTTCACTGTGGGAAATACATTCTCTTACAGACAAGTCTCTTCTGGAAAGGTCTTTTCAAAACCAAAGCGTTAAAGTGACAGAATCTATAACACTAATGACTAGCGAAGTTATTGATGTAGCAGATGCTATGTCTTAAAGACTTACTGTAGGAAAACCCTTTGTATGGTTCCTTCTAGGTGGTTCCAAAAGGCAAAACCAGGATCAATGGCTAAATTACAGGAAGCCAGTTTTCATATAGGGAACCACTGAACAGTGCAAAGCAGATAAAATGCTTGTAGAAAGAGAGTTGGATGTTACAGCCATTTGTTGGTATGTAGGAAGGGTTCAATGGGATGGAGACAGTTGATCTATGAGGAACAGTGAGTGGGGAACACTCAAGGACATTTTTGAAGTCCGAAGACTCTGGATTTACTGCTTGGGGTGAGGAATTCTGGCTTTTGTACTGACACATATTTTCAGTGCAGTCAGGGCCTGTTCTTTACATCTGCCTCATCTACTTGCAGAACAGTACAGATATTTTAGAACAAGAGGAATTTTCTTGAAGTAGATTCTAAACAATGCTCTGATTCTGGGATAATTTGATCTAGGAAGTCATTTTTTAGCCTTTCTTATGCTAATCTGACTACCTTTCATGATGAAGTACCCTCAGAAATGCTTAGTGTAGACACTGTTGGTGGCTCACCCTATAATCCTAGCTACTCAGAAGGCTGAGATCTTAGGATCTCAGGCTTGAAGCTAGCCTGGGCAGGAACATCTATGAGATTCTTATTTCCATATAAGCACTAAATAAGCCAGACATGGCGCTGTAGCTCATGTGGCAGAGTGCTAACCTTGAGCAAAAGAAGCTCAAGGACAATGCCCAGGGCTCAGAGAGGGGGGAGGGGGAGAAGGAAGAGAGGGAGAAAGGAAGGATGGAAGAAAGGAAGGAAAGAAGGAAGAAATGAAGGAAGGAGGATAGGAAGGAAGGAAAGAAAGAAGGAAGGGAGAGAGGGCATGTAGATTACATCACTAGTCTTCAGCTGCCTGTTCTATGCACGTGTGTTCCTCTATGGCTCTGGTGCATTCCCTTGCCTGAAGAATTATTCACTTAAAAAAAGAGAATTATTCACTTAAATTACTTTATTTGAATTAACTTTTAAGGGCAAATCATTAACATAGGTGAGTGATGTGGCTAGTCTCACATTTGAGTGAGACTTAGAGCTCAAAATTAGCTAGAAAATCAGGCTATAAATTATACCAATGTTCAAAGGGATTTTTAAAAATTCAGGTTTAATGAAGATGACTTTTTAAAATTGATACAAAAAAAGCACCATACTTAAGCAGCTATTTATTTTGCTTAAGTTGGAATGGTAAGGAAAATAATTTAAGGAAATAATTCTGGGAAAGGCTAGTAATTTTGTCATAATGATATACTAGGCACATCTGGTAGCCATTCTCTTGGAGATGTATCCTGTGGCCTACAGTCAACACTGGAAAATGTAGCTCCAATTAAGTACATTCCTTCAGAAGGTATATATTCCATTGGATTCCTGCAGTACTGAGTACTGTGAGGAATGAAAGTATCTGTAGGCTAATGATGGGATAAGTCCTATTGCTTGTAAGCTGCAATGAAGACCATCCCACCCCCAGCCAGAATTCTGAATAACTCATGAGCCTAGGGAGAGTGGGAATGGCGTCTCAGTAAACAGCTAGACTGGTTTGTTTCCAGTTTGGAGATGAGAGAGGAAGATGGGACTAAACAAACCATATTAAAAGTACATTGGGAAGGTCTGTGTGTAGCTCAGGAATAGAGCCCTTGCTCAGCCTGCAGCTGGCCCAATCCCCTGCACCATAAAAACCAATAAAGCTACTCTGGGAACCTCTTAGAATCACAAGGTGACAAATCTTGTTACTGTCTAAATGAATTGGGAAACCAAGCAAGAACAGAGAAAATACTTCCGTTTTCTGCCTCAAAATCTAAACCAGTGGAGAGAAAGTGACTTTTTTGTTTTTTAAAATTTGTTTGTTTGCTTTTTTGTTTTGCAGTGCTGGGAGTTTAACTTAGGGCCTTAAGCATGCTAGGCACGTGGTCTACACTGAGCTGCATCTGCAACCAAGAAATTTTTATTTATGCATTCATGCATGCATGCTAGTCCTGGGCTTGAATTCAGGACTTGGCACTGTTCCTGAGCCTCTTTGTGCTCAAAGCCAGTGTTCTACCACTTGAGCCACAGCACCACTTCTGGCTTTTTCTGAGTAGTTTTTTGGAGCTAAGAGTCTCATGGACTTTCCTGCCCAGGCTGGCTCTGAACTAAGATCCTCAGATCTCAGACTCTTTAGTAGGTAGGATTGCAGACATGAGCCACTGGTGCCCAGCTTCAAGAAAGAGTTTATTTATTTATTTATTTATTTTGTTGGCCGTGGGGCTTGAACTCTTGGCCTGGGTGCTGTCCCTCAGCTCTTCAGCTCACTCTACCTTTTGAGCAACAGAGCCATTTCTGGTTTTTTGGTGGTTTATTGGAGATAAGAGTCTCACAGACTTTCCTGCCCAGGCTGGCTTTGAACCTTGAGCCTCAGATCTCAGCCTCCTAAGTAGCTAGGATTACAGGCATGAGCCACCAGCGCCTGGCTCAAGAAAGATTTTTAATGTAAGCAAATTCGGGCTGAGATGGTGGAAAGGTGAGCTGCTTTGTTTATTAAGGAATATTTCCCTTTCTTTCATTCTACTTCTGTTCTTTTTGTTTCCAAAGCCAGGAACAGCAGTCTCCACATCCATGTCTCAGCCCCCTCAGATTTCTTTTCTTTCATGAAGTCTTTTTTGCTTATGAGAGACGTTATTGAAAAATGGTCTTCCTTTGAAAAGCCTAGTCTAACTTGGGGAATATGAAATCTCCAAATTGAAGATCACAGAAGTTCTTAATTTCATTGCAAGTATACTAGTTAAATCTTTTGTCTTATCCCTTCTGTTAATACTGTAACTGAAATCTGAGGGAATGTTTCAGCAGTGTCATGTAAATGAACACCAAGAGAATTCCTATATCTAATGAAACACACATTTCTTAAGATGTTTGTCTTGTTTTGGTATTAGCTATCAGGGAGAAGCAGAGCAAAGCTGCCATTTTTTAGAAGAACATCTTAGTCATTTAGTCGTAGACTTATCTGCCTTCTCACTGTACCTACCATTCAGGTCTGACCTCCAGTACCTACAGCTTGAGTACCCCACAGAAGAGCTCCATTGTTCTTGCAGCTGTACTTCCCATCCAAGCCAATTTTATGCCCACAACTTCATGTTCATTGCAGCCAGTCAGTTGTTGCTGCTTGATTTGCCAGAACAGCCAGCAGCCTGCTGAAGCCTTTGAGCCATAAGGGAATAGGGGAGCAGGAAGTAGGAGCACAAGCTCCCGGCAGGAAGGAATTCAGAGAATTACATAAGCTGTAGACTGTGATTTGCTCCTTAGTTCTCAAGGATGTGCATTTAGTTTGCAGTTCCATTTAGTCTTCTGTGGCTGTTGTTACCAGTTTTGTTTTGATGCCTTGCTAAATCTCTGAATTAACAAAGGAAGCTGTAATGTGGAAAGTTCACCATCTCAAACAATACTTAATACATGTATCTGGTAGCCAAGCCAAGAAACTAGATTTGTTACATTTTTCTGCACCAAACCTTGGTGGCTTGAAGTAGCCACCATTTTATTTACTGATAATTTTTGGAATGTACAATGTGGGCTGATAGGTTCTTCTGCCCCATTTGCCTGGAATTGCTTCTGTAGGTGCCCATACATGCAAATCAACCAGAGTCAGCCTAAAGTCACTTTAAGGATAGGTAATGGTGGCTTGTGCCTGTAATTCTAGCTACTTATGAGGTTGAGATCTGAGGATTGTGGTTTGAAGCCAGCCTGAGCAGAAAAGTCTGAGAAACTCTTATCTCTTTTTAACCAGCAAAATTCCAGAAGTAGCCCTGTGGCTCAAGAGTAGAGTGCCAGCCTTGAGTAAATAAACAAAAGGATAGTACTCAGGCTCTGATTTCAAGCCCCAAAATTGGCACTAAACCAAAAAATAAACAAGGCAGCTTCAGTCACATTGTGGTAGAAGCAGGGCCACATTATTTGAGCAGAAAGTGTAAGTTCAGAGTGGGTGGGATGATTATACAAGGTGTGAAAACTGGGGTATTATTTATTGGTGGAAGACATTATTATACCACACAGTTGAAAATGGAAAATTCTGACTGTTTTGAATGTGCTTTTTTTTAAGCCTTTTTTTTTTTCTTTTTCAGAGCTAAGGACCAAACAGGGCTTTGCACTTGCCAGGCAAGTGCTCTTCCTCTGAGCTAAATCTCCAACCTCTTACATGTGTTTTTTTTTTTTTTTTGTCCAGTCGTGGGCCTGAACTCTGGGCCTGGACGCTGTACCTCAGTTCTTCAGCTCAAGGCTAGCGCTCTACCACTTACAGTGCCGGCTTTTTTCTTTTTGCTTATGTGGTGCTGAGGAATTGAACCCAGGGCCTCAAGCATGCAAGGCAAGCGCTCTACCACTGAGCCAACTTCCCAGCCCTTACATGTGCTTTTAAATAAGCTTCAAATGATGATGTTGTGTTTCAGACCTCTTTACTCTGCAAAGCTGCCATCCACGCCGGAATTATCACAGATGAACTGGGAGGCCAGATCAGCATACTACAGAGCAAAGGGCTAAGTCGTTATGAAGGAATACTCGCTAATGGTGTGCTTTCCAGGCAGTAAGTACTTTGTTTTTTTTTTTTTTCTTTCTGAAAGTAGTCATTAGCACTGAGTAGTCACTAGCACTGATGGCAGTTTTGAAGGGATAGCAGGGATGTGATAATGAAGTTTGTCCACTGAGAAAAATATGTGTGAGGGCTTAGGAGGATCTATCATCTTTATGTGGAAGGGAAATGTACAGTAAAAAAGCTCACCAATGCTGGTACTGGTGGCTCATAGCTGGTATCCTAGCTACTCAGGATGTAGAGTTCTGAGGATTGTGGTTCAAAACCAGCCCAGGAAAGAAAGTCTATGAAACCATTATTTCTAATTAACTGTCCCCACCCCCCAAAAAAGCCAAAAGTGGAGCTGTAGTTCTAGACCACTAGCCTTGAGCAAAAAAAAACCTCAGGTACAGCACCCAAGGCTGGTGCTGAAACATGCATACACACACACACACACACACACACACACATACACTCATTCACCAATGATGCTGACAAGCAAATGAAATGGTAACTATCTAAAGCTGCAAGTTGGAGGATATATCCACTCTCAGGTGTCAGGGAACAAAGGTGTATTCCCTCTTGGTTATCACCAGTTTTTTGTGTTTTTTTACCTAATTTAGATACTGAAGGAGACCAAGAACTGAAATGAATTCTTATAGCACCATTGAGCTGCAAAGAAGGTTCCTAGAGACAGTCTTATTGTTACATAATGGTGAAAAAAAAAGGAAGTTTTAAAAAAAGATGGCTTTTGTTAAAGTTGTAGCTTCTCGTTGTACGTAATTTTAAAAAAAGGTAAGCTTTGTATCTTTTCAGCTTTTAGAATCTATAAGTCCAAACAGAGCTTGTTTAGAAGTGAGTATAGGCTGCTATGTGGTGCGCATGCCCACATGTGTGAAAGGGTGCGCAGCTCCGAATGGTCTGGAGGAAGGAAGCTCCCTACGATGGAGGACTAGTGAGGGAAAGGGGCTCCTTGAGCCTCCGGATTTCCCTGCCACCCCTGTTCTGTCTGCCTCTTGAAACATCTTCCTGTACTGCAACTGTGTTTTTAACAAGTTTCCACATGCTTTTGGACTTTAGAATAAGGCACAAGGACAGAGGCTATATATAGGAAAAATAAGTTAGGACCAGTGTGTGTGTGTGTGTGTGTGTGTGTGTGTGTGTGTGTGTGTGTGTGTGTGTGTGTGTGTGTGTGTGTGTGTG